GGGACCCCCGCCGACCCTGGACCCGGACCCCCGGTCCCTGCACCCTCCCGGCCCCGGCACCCAGGCCCCACACCCCCGGTCCCTGCACCCCCGGTCCCCGCACCCCGCTGACCCCCGACCCCCACACTTGTCCAGAACCCCAAAATATATCTTTTTTTTTTTTCCAACTGATCAGAACAGATACTACATAGATCCTGAAAATATCGAAGGGCACATAAAAAAACAAAATTGAACATAGGAATTCCTTGTTAATTTGTCTTTTTCCCAAAGCCTTTGTGGATATGCACAAAGGGCGTCGTTAGACACTCCTTGGGGACGCGAAATCCACAAGGAAGTGCTCGTTCCACCTATCCTCGGGGATGAATCTCGAAAAAAAATGTGAAAACACCACAAGGACATTTCCTTGTGGCGTCCTTGTGGCCAAAGCCAATTCTTCCTTAGCCCCAAGGGACCTCCCGAGGTCCCTCGGAGCACAAGGAAGCGCGAATTCCGGAGCGACGAAGGCATGCGTCGACGCGAATTTTCTTTTGGAGGGTGGTCCAAACGCGGTCCGCCGACCGGGAACACGGACATCGAAGCCCCCCACCGTGTGGCTAGCCCTCCCAACGGCTCCAAACGGTCACGGTCCCCGTGAGACCGCCGTCCAACGGGTCAGACGTCGCCCGCCGGTGGAGTGCGCTCTGCTGCGCTGGGAGAACGTCGTCAACGGTCGGAAATTCGAATGTTTATCAGCGCCGGCGCGACCAATAGACGACGACTGTCGTTTTTTTCTTGCAGCTCGTAGTTTCCGTCGCTTGTCGTCAATCCGTGCGCGTGTGTGGTCGTGCAGCAAGCCTCTTTTTTCTTCTGTCGACGGCGTTCTTTACAGGGTGGTGCACCACTGCCGTGGTGTGCATGCCCTTTCCGTCCCCCCCCCCCCCCCCCCCTTCACATGGCCGACCTGCTACACCGACTGCCCCTGCTACTCCTCGTCGTTGTGCTGCTTGTCGTCGTTGTCATCTTCCAAGTCTGTTTTCTCGGGCGGCTCCCTGTTCCCACCAGGAAGGAGAGGTCTTCGAGGAAAGGTGAGAGGATGGATCGACGACTGACCAACGGCAGGGCCGCCGGCACGTCAGGAGGGGCGAGCAATCGCCGAAGCAGTGCAGGGTGTGTGGCGAAGCGAGCGTACGACCCGACGTTGTATGCTCACCTGCCTTCGCATGAGATTCCTCTACCGCCGTCGGATGACGTGGGGGAAGAGCTGAGGTCGACGATTGTGCCGTTGGGAAGTGGCTCCACGCAGCATTGGGGGGCAATGTAGTCGTACGGTGCCAGGCGAGCGGAGGCGACCTGGTCTTACATGTCACTGCTAAACGACGGCCTATGCGAAGATGAAGCCAATGCACCGGTCGATCTCAGGTTCCAGTTGTCGAGCAGCAGCGGAGCAGCGGCAACACACACTCGAATCGTCAAGCCGTACCCAGATGGAGGTTGGGCGGAGCAGTCGTCGGCAGCTCCCTGCGGGCGTGGAGACGACGGCCTCTCGCAAGCATCCGGGGGCGTCGGGAATAGAAATGTGGCGTCGACGCAGGGCGGAGGACGAGGCGATGTCTGCCAGCGTCGGGATTGGACTGCCTCACGAAGCGGTCCAGGGACTCCACTCGGATGGCAACGACAGGACGACGGTTCTGCGTCGGGTGCGCAAGTGGAGCGGCACGGTAGGCAGTCGTGGGCGGATGCGAGGCAGGCGTTGCGTCAAGCAGGAGCGGACACCATAACGAGAGGGGTGCAAGAGCTCCACGTCGACGGAGGCGGCGATGCGGCGTTGAGGAACCATTCGACTGCGACGACGTTGATGATGAAGAAGACTGCAACTCCGGCGAATTGCCTGATGTTCGTCCACTTGGGAGGAAGGCCAGGGACGGCGGTGCGAGTGCGAAGAAAGGTTCCACTCCGTCAAATTGGAGGAATAAGAGGAGGGACGACGACACTAGCGGGAGCGATGGCGAGGGCGGTCGCAATTTCTGGCCGGTAGGAGACACGGTCGCACTCGTCCGGGCGAAAAGGGATCAAGACCTGTATTTTGCGGGCATGGGCCACAATTTCGGGGGCATGAAGACTAGGGAATGGAGGTGGGAGGACGTCCGGCAGAGGTTGGTAAAGTTGGGCGTCCAGCGGAAGGCCGTCGACTGCGGCAAGAAGTGGGACAACTTGATGCAGCAGTTCAAGAAGGTTCACAAGTACCAAAACCTCTCCGGCGGGAAGGACTATTTCAAGCTTGCTTCTTCGGCGAGGAGATCGGAGGGTTTCAGCTTCGTCATGGACCGGAGCGTTTTCGACGAGATGGAGGCGATGACAAAGGGGGATCACACTATCCACCTGAAGAATTTGGCGGACACAGGGGCGCCGGAGGGGGTGCAGATGCCGGCAGGAACGGGGGCTGTGGGGGATGACATCGGCAGTGAGGGGGGAGGGGAGCCCGTCGACGAAGACCAGGGGTCGACGAAAGATTCTAGATTCAGCGGCGGGAGCGGCGCCGCAACGAGGAAGAGGAAGAATATGAGACAACAATCGTTTGAGGTAGTCACCGACGTGATGAAGGACCATGGAACGCTTATGGCGACGACGATGGACAATGCGAGCAAGCGGCAATGCTCCATGATGTTACGACAGTGCCAGGTCCTTGAGAGCGAACTGGAGCTGCAGAGGGGACATTATGCTGTTGCCGATGCGGCGAACACGATGATGTGTAATGCCCTTCTGGAGATAGCGAAAGCAATCCGCGATAGATCGTGAGGAAGTGTGGTGTCTAGCTAGACGTCCCCCGTCTCGTTTCTGTCGTCGTGCGTGCGTGTGTGTGTGTGTGACTGCGTGTCCACACGGCTGCAAAGCATTGCAGTTGTACAAATTTTGTTGCTTTTTCGTGTTGGACGACTGTGCATCGTCTCTGTTTTCAGTGCTCGAAGAACTGAGAGGCATGTGTGAAATGGGCACAACCGCGTCCGAGATGGGTAATGCGGTCCGGGTGTTGTGGACAATGGGGTCGTCTCGCTGGCTGGTGGGCGCAAGTGGGGAGGGGGGGGGGGGGGGTCTTTTGGGCTGCTGGGGGGGGTATGGGTCAGCGACGGCTCCCGGCGATGGGGCGGCCATGGGTGAAGGTTTTTTTTTTTTTTTTGGTTTTTCCGCTCCCTCGCGAGTGAATCACAACGTCGAAGCTGTCGTCTCCCGGCCCAGAGAAGCGACGTGGTGGGCAGTCAATATGGGCCAGTGCAACGCTTGCCGACCCGCATAAATGTCGCCCACCTGTGCAGTAACCAGTGCAGATGCCCGCCGCGCGAAGTTGAAGAAGCCTTTGGCACCTCGCCGCGGATTATCATCGCATGCTCCCAGCGGACATCTTCGGCGCCTTTGACTACCACCATCGTCGCTCTTCTACTCTTCTCGCCGCGTGGACATCAGTGACGTGGTGATCAGCCTTCTCGACGCGTGGTCTACTCTTCTTCTCGCCAGGCGCACGGCGGTCTTCTTCTTAGCGCGGAGCACTGTCGCCGGGCTCCTGGTCCTACTTCAGCGTCGTCGGCGGGACTTCATTCGGCGATCGACGAGTCACTTCCAGCGAATCCGATCGGTCCGCCAATGTCGCTTCCAGCCGTCTCCGCCACGTCATCATGTCTACACGAGGGAACGCCCGTGGCACGAAACGCGACACCCTTCCTGAAGACGGCGAAGGGCAGTTGAAGAGGGGGCGGCATGTCCCGAAGGGGAAGAGGCTGCGTCCGGAGGAAGCTTCAGGAAGCGTTCCAAGCCGGATCGCACAAGGTTGGGTGGCAGCAGCCGAACGAGACGATGACGACGAGTATGCATCCGGGGAAGAACACGCCGAGGGAACGGCGTCTGCAGTGCGGGAGAGTGGTCGCCAACGGTCGTCCGATCATATCGCTTCGAAGGGGATGACCACCCCGCCGCCCGCCGCCCTGCGAGTGCAAGGCCGCGACACGCGGACAGAGAAGGTCACTATCGTCGATATGGTCAATCCATCGGATGACGAACCGTTGGAGAAACGTCGCCTGCGCACGGCGACTGCAAGCACCCCAGGCACGCCGACTCTGCCACGTCAGCCTCGCCCGGACGATGAAGGAGGGTCCGCCCAACACGTCGCTGCTGGTGCAGTCGTCGTTGCCCGGGGTGCAGCGGGGGCGGAGGCAGCAGGTGCTGCTGGGGGGGCCACACCTGGCGAGAAGAATCCTGGTCGGGAGGGTGATGACCCCTCTTCAAGTCCTCATCGTCGGGGAGTGATGACGAAGGATCTTTTGGAGCGTGCCCTGCTGTGGGTTGACGACACAGCCTTCTGGACGACGCGGGAGGGGAGAAGGATGTACAACATCGTCCACGAAACTCGCGAGTATTTCGTGGCCATCGCCAGCGGGCTACCAGCGCGTGCCATCCCTCGGAGCGTCGTCATGCCGAAATCAAGCGCGAAGGTGGCGCGGATCTCCGACCAGTCACAACTGCAGCAAGCCACGAAACGGGCGACAACTTTGGAGAACGTTGTTATGCGCATCTTGCACGTCTGGGTGTTCAAATCCGGAAACCGCCCGAGGGGTTACCATCTTGCCTTCCAGTACACGCTGGAATCCTTTGCCACGGACCTTGCGCGTGTTATGTGGTGCGGCGAGGAGTGGAATAACGCCGTCAGCGCTGCGGTTTGCGTGCACACGATAGACTTGGGCATGGACTTGCCGCTGTGGTTCGTTGGTGCGAACGTTGACGATAGGCCTGACGACGACGACATGGCGGCGTACCAGGAGTCCACTATGATATGCATCGTGCATGCATTCCACGGGGCGATCCAGATGGGTGCTACCATCGACCAAGGTTTCATTTTGTACGAGTGTCTTTGTCGGGTGGCTGATTGTCTCAGGCTGCTGCTGGCGGCGAGCATGTGGTTGATGCGCATGGCGGGAGACGATCAGTGCAGCCACTACGAAGCTTTGTACTTCGCAAAGCTGGTGGCTAAGCCCACGCTCATCGCATCCATGCATCACGCCTTCGAGCATCGCAAGAAGGTCCTCCGCGCCGTGAACGTCATGACGGAAAGGCTCAGGAAGGCGAACGCCACTCTTGGTGAGTATCCAAAGTACATCCCAGATTGGGCGGACTGCGGCATCAGTTTCGGCCACGACGCCACCATAACAAGGTCGGACGAAGCGAAGAAGCTAGACTGGTTGGGTTCTGCCCCCCCCGACGACGACGACGGCAATGCTGATGGGAAAAAGGAGACGTAGGGGCGGGTTGGGGGGGTTGGGGGGGTTGACGTCCACGGTCGATTGGGTTGGTGATACACACTGGCAGCGGATGATGCTTGATGGCGCTTGTACACGTGGCCTCAGTGATGTCATTGTCCGCGCTTGGAGGCGAGGCGCAGTGTGTTGGTGATTTGTCTGTCCTTCGGTCGGATTTGCTAGGGTCGACCCGTCGGTGTGCAGACGTGTAGTTTGTTGGTCAGTGTAGTGGTTGATGGGTTGCACAATTCCCGTCCATGCATCGTGTTATTTGTGTAGCTGTGAGTCCTTTGTTGGACGTCGGTGGGGCGGGTAATTGATTACCACGCCGTATTCAGTTTTTTTTTCAAAATGCATGTTTCGTTCGGTTCAACTTCTTCGCGCTTTCAACTTTCTTTCGTTTTTTTTCATGATCCTAATTGCTTGTTTGTTTGTTTCTGCTCCGATGGGTGTTTGATGATTGCGTTCAATGCATGCACATGTTATCATTTTTTCTTTTTTGGTTTATTTGTATTCAATGTGAACTTTTGTAAACGCATCGTTGGGATTGCTTTCGACGACCACATGTCATGCACGCATGAAACAAGGTAGGAAGAATAGCCACACAATATCGACGACAACGCAACAGACGACAGCAATTGTTGTCAGCATTCGACCCTACGTCACAACCAATTCCAATGCATGCACACGTCATCACTTTTTCAACATCTATTTCGAAGATTACAGAATCTTGAGATGACAAGTACACAGCAAAAAAAGGACTCGCATGTCATTAACGAACACATGAAACATTGAGGGCAGTGCCATAAACCGGCAACCCCCTGGTTATCCCCCCCCCCCAAAAAAAAAAAAACC